CAGTCGGGACTTTGACCCCCCTCAGGAAAGTGCATATAGCTCTCTTTTATTCTAGTGTTAGGTTGAAGCACGCCATGGGTAGAGTGTATTTTCCATTAGCCTCAGGTACCGGATGAAGTTGTGGCATCACGTTTAGCTGCACCATGTCTTTCAGTGATTTTAGACCATCCTTTGACTTGCATGTGTCCATCAAGGTAGCAATGAGACTCTCAAAGACATTCTTCTGCATGTGCATAGCATCAATGGCATGGGGGACCTCTAAGTATGGCTAATAAGGCAGATACTGAAAGAAGATCAATTGTTTCTTGAAAGGTACGCCTTCGATAGGAGGTGTGCTTCTATCTCTATTCATCCCATCCGGATTCTTCTTTTGATAGATGACGCGTATGTTTTTCACCATTCTATACATGTGTTCTCTGTTATGACGTCTCTCAGGAGGGGGTTCAATCTCTGGGGTGTTGTCATAAAATCTAAAGAATAATTTGCTACGGTACTTATGACTTGTCTTTAAGAAGCGTCAGTTCCTTAGGTAAACTATCTTCTTGGATGCATCCAGGAACACCCATGTAGTACCATCCAAGCAAACTAAGCATCCTGTCTTCCCTTTGATCTATCTAGACAAAGCAAATAACACGAGGTAATCATTGGTAGTAACAAATATTATTGCTCTACATATGAAGTCCTCCTTTCGGAACGCATCATACATCGGCTACCCATGCCTCCATAACCTCTCCATTTCTTGCATCAAAGGCTCGAGGAACACGTCTATATCAATGCCTGGATGTTTAGGGCTAGAAATAAGAATAGTGAGGAGAAGGTACTTTCTCTGCTGACACAACCATGTTGAGATGTTGTACATGGTCAAGATCACTGGCCAAGTACTGTGGTGCTCATCCTCTCATTGAAGGGATTCAGCCCATCGGTGCTCAAGCCAAACCGTACATTCCTTGGGTCATCGCTGAATTTGTTGTGCTTCTCATCGATCCTTTGCCACTGACTACAATCAGCTGGGTGTGCAATCTTATCATCATCCACCTTGCATTCATCATCCCACCATGTCATGAGTGCGACTTCTTTAGGGTTTAGGAAGATACGTCTCAAGCGGTCGATCACTGGCAGGTACCACATTACTAAGGTAGGAATTCTTCTCTGCTTTGCATCGTTGCCTAATGGAGTGTCCTCTAGGGGCTGAGATTCTTGTACCACCTTTTTTGTACCCTTCTTATTCCTCTTTTTCCCCGTGGAGGCTTCATCCCCACTGTAAAGGTCATTGTTCTTGTACCGGCTGGCCTCACACCAGGGACATTTATCCAGTGACTTGAACGTTTTACCATGAAAAAGGATATAGTGGTTGGGGCATGCATGGATTTTTTCAACCCCCATTGTCAATGGACTTATGACCTTCTTTGCTTGGTATGTGTTGGCGGGAACTGAGTTTGGTTATGGCAGCACCCATGACAGGAGACGCAATAGATCGTTGAAACTACAGTCTGACCAGCCGTACTTAGCCTTCAAGATGAGTAGCTCAAGCACAAAACGTAGCAATGTCCAATGTGTCGGACAACCCTTTTCAACACGATACACAGTCTCCTTTGATGCTTTTGTCACCCTTTCCAAATTTTCTAGATCTTTTGGGCTCTTTAGTAAAATCTCTGGTCTAAAGGCTCAAATCATGTCCTCCAAATCATCTTCATCCCCGACACGTGCTCCGCCATCATTATTGGCACCACCTTCGTCGTTACCATCCCAACCACCAGCATCACCACCTTGTTCATTGCTAAACTCGGGATCCATTCGTGCATCAAGCTCTGCTAAATATTGGGACAAGGATTCTAGGGTTTCGTCGTCGTATTCCTCATCATCCTCGTCGTTAACAATAACTGTTTCACCATGATGAATCCACACTATATAGTCCTTAACAAATCCTCGCATAATCAAATGTGATATGATGATAGTCACATTTGTCCATGCCATACGGTTCTTGCAATCTTTATAGGGACAAATAATTGTATCCTTATTCTTTGTCAACGTCATTGCATGCTTCTCTGCGGCTTCAATAAATTTATCCATCTCTTCACGGAAACCTACCTTGAACCTTAACGAACCATACATCCAAGAGTTCATGTACTCCATCTTTTACAACAACAAAACAAACATTAAAGGACTACTTATTCAGATATATATAAAAATGAATCAAATTAATAATTACTTGAGAATAATTGTATATACTTCAGATATATATGAATATAAATCAAATATAATTACATGAAGCATACAAACACACCATGGTAAAGGAAAATTAATTAATGGCCTATTTATCCATAAATAATTAAAATACATATTTGTTGATTACAATAAACAATTTCAAAGACAACAATTAGCAACAATTATATTTTACCCAATATCTTCCATGCAAACCCTAGTCTAATTTCATCAAACATAAATTTACAAAAACGAAATTAATAAAAAACCAAACCCTAGATCTAGATCTACATGCACATGAAACATACATAAAACTAACTAATTGTTCACTAAAATAAAGAAATATGGACCAAATAAAGCTATGATCTTGTTTCCCAACCTAGTTTACCCTAGTACATTCAAAACTTGGGTCTAATTTGCTTCATAAGTAGCTCAAGCACCATAGATGAGAGAGAAAAATAAAACTCTAATTACTCACTAACCAACCATTAAAACTTCAAAAAACGTGTGTAATAGCATTTTTTTACCTTCTACAACCTCTCCACCAAAGGATTTGAGACCAAAACCTTCTCTCTTAGTAGAACAATTTTTGGGAGGTGCGCAAAGCCTCCCAAGCCTTTTTTTTCTCGGATAAGAGTGAGTGACCCAAGGAGAAAGAAGGGGGCTGCAGCCTTTTGCACGTGCAGCATTTGTAGGGGGCGACTGATGATTGAGCCGCCCCTACAAATTGCAACACCGGGAGCGGCCAGTGAGTGAGCCGCCCCTACAAATCGTCTCATTTGGGGCGGTTCGTATCACCAGCCACCTATACTGTGCCATTTGTAGGGGCGGCTAGTCTTATGGGTTTCGAGCACGCCCACTGTAGGGGCGCTTCCATCCCCAGTCGCCCCTAAAAAAAAATTGAGCTGTTGCTATAAACTTTTTTTTGTAGTAGTGTCTGAGAGGTGACCGCGAGCGGCGACGCTCCCAGTCCGCGTCCTCCCTGCGCGGGGGGTCCCAAGCTCTAGGCGAGCCCCGAACACTCCGCTCAGCGCTCCTGCCACGATCCCGTCCATAGGCACCTCCTGATCACCAGTGTCCCTGCGCCTATACGCCGATGGGGAGCGAGTGCGCTCCCTGCTGCCACCAGCAGCGGCGTTTCCTCCAGCCCGACGTAGAATGTCGATGGCCTGCCGCCCGCGCTCCAGTATCCCCTGGGATAGCCCCCTGGAGCCGCGGCCATCGTCGTCATCCCGGTCAGGGCGGCGCCGCTGGTGCTGCAGCGGTGGACCATGGCATGGCTGTGCACGGGCTCTCGGGTGGTGGCCATCGACGATCCCCGGCACCCAGTCCTCCGGAGGATGGGTAGGCCCTTATTATTAATGTTATCTTTGAACACAGGTGTTAAGGGGTATATCTTGAACCTTTTGGGCCAACCCAAGATCATGATGGTCCATATCACCTAACGCACAGTAGCTACATGCTTGAAGTTGGCACCTTCTCCAGCTTCACATCTCATGAACAGGGCGCCGTTTAGTGGACCCCTGTGTGAAACTTGTTTCAACGCACCTATATTACTTATATGATCAGACTATTACTTCAATCCCTTTTATATTGTTTTGATTTGGCTATATCTGATACGTCTCTCTTAATCACGTATCAATTTGACGCCATATTTCATCTCTGCAGTCAATTAGTTTGACCATTCAGCCATGAAACTAATTGCACAGCAAGCGCTAGTGTACGAATTAGTGAATATTAATCTGTCCCTTGAAGGACACTTTGAGATGCATTTGTATTAAGTCAGCTACATGTATCATCAACTAGTGTTGTGTGGCCAAATATTCCAAATAAGAAACGGCGTAGCTAGCGTCCGGACGTTCGGACGGACAAGCATTCGGATGCTGTTCATCTTCCTCGACCTCCCTGCCCGCTGCCACCTCCAACCCCGCCCTGGTCGCCGGCTACTTCATCGGCGACCTCATCATCGGCCGCCCAACCCCTCCACTCCTTCCCCACCCTTCCTAATCCAAATCCCGATGACTTAGCTCCTCCTCCCTCCTCGTCACCATCTCCGACCCCGCTTTGGCCGCCAGCTACCTCGCTGGCGACCTCACTATCGGCCGCCCACCCCCGCCGCTTCTTCGCCACCCTTCCTAAACCCAATTCCGGCGACTTAGCTCATCAACCCTGCCCACTGCCACCTCCGACCCCGCCCTGCCGGTGGCCTCACCGCTGACCGCTCTCCCTGCTGCTCCTTCACCGCCCTTCCCTAATCCCAATCCACAGGCGACCTAAGCTGCTATCGCACCAGCATGGCGGTGAGGTGTACATGTTTGAAAAACATTTTCTCCGTATCTAAACAATCAATGACGCAATAAGAACTCTAAGACATGCTATTGCATGGCTGATTCAAATCCAATGAATTATTTCCAGTCAACTCTGTTGAATGCTGATCGAATATGACAGAATTTGTTCTCCATCCCTGACCTTCCCTTCTCTCCTACGCTTTCTCCCTACATCCAGTCATGGAGGCACCGACCCTCCTCACCGTTTCTGGAATCTCCTTGTGCCACTCGGCCCACTGCACTTGTGGGTAAGGACCCCACAACCATATCCCAATCATACCCGGAGTCCTATAGCCTAATGCCATTGTGGATAATAAAGAATATATATTTCAGATGATTGTGGTATTACATTATTTTACAGTGAAAAACTTCAGATTTTTCGAATTGTATGGCAGTTCTTTCTTGATTCTACTTGATTTCAGATTTAGAGGTTGAAAAGACCCCAACATGAGCAGCAGCAAACTACACAGTTTACTCTATTCTACTCGGTTGGGCTTCCAGGCATTTAGTTGTCCCGTGCGTGCTGAAGTCACAAGAAGCTGTGCTGTTGTTGTTGCCTCTGTATCGGATGGAGCAGTGCAAGAAGTGCAACAGGTTCACCGTGCCCAGAGCAGCCATCATCCAGAAGAAATAGTCCAGATGACCCTCGTTCAAGTCGTCCGGGATCCACCCGGGCTCCCCGCCGCGCGCCGTGGTCGCCGTGACAGCGCCGAGCACAGCCGAGTTAAGGTAGCTCCCGGCCGCCATGGAAAGCTGCGCGAACGCGTTGCCAAGGCTCTTCATCCCGTCCGGCGACTGGTCGTAGAAGAACTCGAGGATGCCGATGGTGGCGAACACTTCCGCCGCGCCGAGCACGGCGAACACCGGTGCCTGCCACATGATGTTCATTGCCGGCATGTTGTCCTGCGCGAGGACCAGTCGCCTCGCCTCGAGCAGCGCCGCGTACACCATGGCGAACACGGACAGTGCGAGGCCGATACCGAGCCGCTGCAGCTGTGACAGGCCGCGGTCGTTGCCAGTGGCACGCCGGGCCAGCGGCACCAGCACGGCGTCGTAGACGGGGATGCAGACCATGACGCTGATTACCTCGAAGGTTGCCAGGGACGCCGGAGGAAAGGTGAATGGGCCGACGCGGTTGTCCATGGCCGCGCCCTGCTCAATGAATGTCGATGACATCTGCGAAGTGATGGCGAAGAAGAGCACCATGGTTGCCCAGACCGGCAACATCCGGAGCAGCATCTTCAGCTCCTCCACCTGGGACACCGTGCAGACTCTCCATGGGCTCGTCGGTGCTGCTGTACCCTTCTCGCCAGTCCAGGGCAATATTATGGCAGCCTTGTCAAAGAATCTGGACAGCAGACGTACGTACATCATATGAAATTTGAGTTCTGATATATAGGTGATTCAGTCAATTTATACATAATTTTTCGTTACTATGTACATCAAAGTTGCAGTAAGTGAGCAACTTTGAGGTGACAATTGTAACAATAACTGGACACACACCTGAACTGTCTCGCAGCCTCAGTCTTGAAATTTGGCTCGATTGCAGAAGGCGTATCATGGTGCAACGCTGACGTATGCTCAGGCAACTCGAGATGGCAGTTCCTCACAGCTGCAACCACCACCTGGGCTACCCTTGTCAAAGGACTCCCACTCAGTTTCTTGTACCTATACACCTTCCGACCGGCGACAAACACCGCTAGGCCAAGCACCATGAACACCATCGGCATGGCAAATCCGACTCCCCACCCAATGTTTTCTTGCATCAAAACGATCACGGTCCCTGACAGCAGTGAGCCGATGTTGATGGAGAAGTAGTACCAGTTAAAGAAGGAAGCCTTGGTCACCCGCTCCGTCATGTCGGTGCCGTCAAATTGCTCGGCCCCAAGGGATGATGTGCAGGGCTTAATGCCTCCAGTGCCTAGGGCAACAAGGTAGAGCCCCAGGTATGCTGTGGCACGATGAATTACGCCGTTGTGTGGCGAATCCATCATGGCGAAGGGGAGGCATGCAGAAACCGTCAGAGTGAGCATCCCCTGACCATATGCAAGCAGGACACAACCAATTAATTACTCATGAGTTCAGACTTCAGAGTTCAATGATGGAATGGAACAAGGTTGAATGTCAAAGATGGGTAATTAATTACTGTTTCTCTTGGTGCAACTTACAACGGTGTAGACCAAGAGGAACACTACTATCGTCTTGTATGTTCCCCAATATGTGTCGGCCAAGAAGGCTCCGATAACCGGTGTGAGGAAGCAACTGCCGATCCAGGTAGAGACATCCCTGGCGGCATCCACATTGCGCTCGTGGAGCTCACTCATGAGATAGGTGATTAGGTTCTTTGCGATAGCGAAAAATGCCAGGGATTCCGTGAACTCGGTACCTAGCACATTTTCAAGAGACTGAATAGGTCAATTCTACTTATTTGGGTAGTAATTTCTGTTCTGGTGTGTCGCAAGAACTTCGTTGCATGCAGAACCTACCTAAAATCATGAAGCATGCTCTCCAGTTCCCGGTGCGTTGCTTCAGAGCAGGCTGGTCGTTAATATCAAGCGTTCCGTCGCTAGTATATTGTGAAGCATCATCCTGAATGATGACAATGGAAAAGAAACATTTTACGTTGTGCACTTTGGACATGTAGTTGACAGGTTCTCAAAAAAAAAAAGATCAAAAAGGAATATCACCTCTGGAGATAGGTAATGAATCAGTGGCCTTTCCTCATTTGCTGCTTCCATGGCAGTCTATGGGCTCGAGGAATGTTGTTGAAAGGATCTGGATCCTTGCACACCTGCTTCTCCGAAGCACTTCCTATATATAATGGTCCATCTGCTGCCAGCTGCACAAACGTGCTCTCCTCTTCTGACAAATAAAAAAACAATATCATCATCAGTTGTTGGGACAGTCCACATTGGACCAAGGCCCCCCTAGAAGAGGCCCAATTAGCGCCATTGGAGTGACATGTAAAACCTACCCCCACCAAGGGATCACTTGTAAATTGCCGCTTGCCTGTATAATGCTAAAAGCATGAGGGCAAGCGGGGCTCTCTCTTCTTCCACTCATTTTTCGCAAACCCTAGCTATCGCCTCACTGTCCCCTTTCATATGTTGGAGCCTTCGTCAGTCAGCAACCTTTTGTCACTTATTGGCTTTGTCAGTCAGCGGCTTTTTTCAGTCATTGGCCTTCATCAGTCAGTTGGTTATCATCAATCAGCAGCCTTCGTCTGTTAACAGCGTTCGTCATTCAGCAGCCTGCCTCAGTTGGCAGTCTTCGCCATTCAGCAGCCTCTGTCTATTGGCATCCTTCGTCATTCAGCAGCCGTCGTCTATCAACAACCTCCGTTATTCAGCAGCCTTCATCAGTTGACAGCCTTAGTCATTCAGCAGCTTTCGTCTATCTGTGACCTTCGTTATTCAGCAGCCTTCGTCAGTTGGCAGCATTAGTCATTCCGCAGCCTTCATCTGTCAGCAACCTTGGTCAGTTGGTAACCTTCAGCGGCCTCCATCAACAATCGACCTTCAACAGCCACCAAACCTTGGTACCTATGCTAACACTTCTTCTATTTTTTGCAGGTTGTATTATTCAATTTTTTTCTTTCTCTTCTTAGGCATTTATAATATGCATCAACCCTAATGTTATTTGAGCTAACCTTCGTAGGGAACTGATCCTTTTTATATTCAATGTTACAAGACACACCTATACCATGCAGGTTCTTGAATGGCAGCCTTCACTAGCCATCTAAAACTACAACCGTCTCATTCGAGGGCATTATTTCTTATATGCAGGGCTTATTTTTTATTCAAGCATAACCATCATTTTTGCAAGATGTATGATATGTTTACCCCTTTTAGTATTTTGGAGCAAATGCACTTACTTGCATCATCACATACATACATGCATTACATAAATGCATTGCACCGTGGTAACCCAACAAGGACCTGTCCATGATCAGGCATCGGGGCCATCACTCTCAAAAGCTTCAAAAAGCTTTACCCGACAAAGACCTGTCTGTAGTCAGGCATCGGGACCTTCGCTCTCGCAAAACCTTCAAAAACTTCACCCTCATGTATCATATAAATGACTAACCATTTTTTGCAACAAGTGGGAAAGCCTGTCTTTCTGAGTGCCAAAAGACTTGCAAGCAAGTTGATATTTGACGAAACTATAACGCCCAACCTAAGTCCGTAAAAAATGCAGGAGATCAACTCAGGTGCATTTTCACGCGACTTCTCTAGCCTTCGGCACGCGGCGTTGGCGCCTACATCGGCATCGCCTTTGCCAACACGCTTCGCCAACATCACCTCCACCAAAACACCTTTTTTAGGAGAGCCTTCGCAAAACAACTTTGCAGGAGGGCCTTCACCAAACAACTTTGCAGGAGGGCCTTCGCCAACACCTTTGGCAACCTCACCTCCTCCAAACAACTTTGTAGGAAAGCCTTCGCCAACACCTTCGGCATCTACACTAACCTCTCCTTCGCCAAACACCTTTGCAGGAGGGTCTTCGCCAACAGTCATGGTGAACCAGGACAACTCGCCTCCACCAATACATCGGCACGAGGGGGCTTCACCGACACCTTAATTGTCTACACCAACTTTGACTCCACCAAGAACCTTTGCAAGAGGGTCCTCAACAGGAGGGGCTTTACCATCATCTTCACCTTCCACAATGGCTTGAGAGCCTTCAACAACATCTTCAGCATCAATGCCCACAATGACTTACCATCATCGCCAAGCTCAAGGGGCTACATCAACACCTTCGGCACTAAGGTCTACCACACCTTCATCAACCACTTCAACTCGAGGGGCTCATCGACAATTTCAGTCCAAACATCTACTTCCACTACTATGACTACGTCGACTACACCAAGGGAGACGGAGGATTTGGTCATGAGTATCAGCCAAGAGGGGTTAGGGGAGCATACTGGAATACCTGCAACTCTAGAACGTGAAGTCTTTTGCCCGGTGCTCATGAGAAGACACTAAAGAAGAAGGCTCAGAGATGAAGGCCCCCTCGCCGAGAAGGTTTAGAGAGGAAGGCCTCCGCGTTGGGAAGGCCTTGAAGATGAAGACCTCCACGCCAAGAAGGCTCGGAGATGAAGACCTCCTCCATGCCGAGAAGGCTCGGAGATGAAGACCTCTATGCCGAGAAGACCTCGAAGACAAAGACCCCCTCACCGAGAAGGCTCAGGAAGGAAGACCTCCGCGCTGGGAAGGCCTTGAAGATGAAGACCTCCACACCAAGAAGGCTCAAAGATAAAGACCTTCACGCCAAGAAGATCTCAAAGCCGAAGACCTACGCATCGAGAAGATATTGGAGGAGAAGGCCTCAAAGACGAAAGCCTATGTGCCAAGCATAGCCAACGAACAATATCATGGAAATGGAGAAATAAGCTAAAGCCCAAAGGTGAAGACATCTAGAAGAACAAGGCATTCAGAGGTAGATGCCTTAGGAATTAGAACATGTATAGGTTATAGTCGTGCGCGTGCTCTTTTCTCCATGCCCTTTTTCCCATAGGGTTTTTGGGATGGAGTTTTTAGTGAGGTGCGCACGTATAGGTTATGAAGGGTGATCCTCGCAACTAAACCTTGAGTTGTGTTGTGCCTCTTCTAGTATGAGCACCTACTAGGTTATGTAGTACCAACCATATCCTAGTAGCTAAGGGGCTACTGTTGGGACAATCCACATTCATATGGGCTAAGTCCCCCTAGAAGAGGACCAACTAGCGCCATTGGAGTGGCATGTAAAACCTACCCCCACCAAGGGGTCGCTTGTAAATTGCCGCTTGCCTATATAATGCTAAGAGCATGAGGGCAAGGGGGGCTCTCTCCTCTCCTACTCATTTTTCGCAAACCCTAGCCATCGCCTCACTGTCCCCTCTAACATGCTGGAGCCTTCATCGCAAGGCCTCCTCCATGGAGCCTCCACATGAAACCATCGGTGCAGAGCTTTCTTTGTGGAGTCTCTGTCATTGAGCCTTCTTCGCAAAGCCCTTATATAGAATAATCATTGGGCCTTCGTCCGAGGCCTTCGTTCTGGGCCTTCATCCGATGCCTTCGTACCAGGCCTTCATTCTAGGCCTTCGTCGTGAACCTTCTCCAGCCAGGCCTTCATCGGCAATCTTCTCTAGCCGGGCCTTTGTCAGGTGATCTTCTCTGGCTAGGCCTTTGTTAGGAGACCTTCTCTGGCCGGGCCTTCGTCGGGTGATCTTCTCTGGTGGGGACTTTGTTAGGAGACCTTCTTCGGCTAAGCCTTCATCGCGGACCTTCCTCGGCCCCTTCATCGAGAGACCTTCTTCGGCCGGGCCTTCGTCGCGGACCTTCTCCAGCTAGCCTTCTCCGAGAGACCTTCTCCCGCCAGCCTTCTCTGGGTGACCTTCTCCAGGAGACCTTCTCAAGCTAGCCTTAACCAAGGAGCCCTCTACTCTCAACCCTGTTCAGAACGCTTGTCCCAACATTAGTAGTAATGCATTCTTCGTAAAAGAGAGGTCTATGCTTTTTTGTTATGCATAGAAATTGTTCTTTCGAAAGACAGTAAAGAATGGTGGCTGTTGGCGGTCACTATCAATCAAATCTGACCACTAATTAATGTCCAAAACAGGAGAAATAAACAAACTTTCAACACATATGCATGTACTATTGACATCGTTCCACTTGTATTGAAAGAAACATGTTTTTGCAGGACATACATTTGAATACAAGAGGAAAACAAAACAAAAGGCGCAATACGGAAAGTGTAAAGCAGAAATGCGCAATGGAGAAATGGAGAAGCCCACCGTCACACAACAACCTGGGCCGAGCACCACCGTGGAAGGGGCCTAGGCCCAGCCACCAACCCAGCTGGCAAACACGGTGGCTAGGTGAGATAGCCAGGGTGCGCCCGCACCCTAGGGGACGTATCCCAGGCCCAGTCTCCTACGGTGGTTGCATGCCACCATGCTGAGGCGGGCCACGATGGTTTCCTAATTTACCTGTGCCAAACCGACCTCCGTGTCACTATAAGAAGAGGGGTGGAGCTCTCCTTCAACACACACCTCATTTGGAGCTATTACACCTCACTACCACACTCTTGTACTCTTTTAGCTTTTAGTAGTATTTTGGAGCTAGCAAGAGCTATCAATGAGGGATTCGCTCCTTGGGAGAAAAGAGAGAAAAGCTTGGTACGAATACAAAGAGAATTTCTTCCAAAGTCATGCTCTCATATCATAAATATAGTTGTGCTATAGAACTAGACTATAGTTCTCATGTTATAATCATGATTTATGAACTAGCATATAGTTTGGGGGTTATGATATTGACATGTAGAACTTTATGCTTAATCATTCATATAACTTATATGAGTAGAATTAGAGCTAAGTTGAGGTGGCGGTTCATCGTGCCTTCGGGTGTGCCTAAGTTCTTTACCTATCGATTCGTAGGGTCGGGGACCTAGGGGAGTTTTGGTAGTTTCTGTGTATGCAAGCATGGTGAATGCATTTTCTACTCTCCAATTGAGGGGTAGGCAGCAGGTGGTGACAACTCTATCCATCCCTTGTGATCCCCCACATTCAGGTAGGGTGTAGCAGTCTAAATTGTCACACGAGGTTGCTGGCAGACAAGCTCTAATCATGTATCTTGTATGCTCATTGACTGTTCTTTGCATGGCTATATTAGAACATGCCTGCTCCACGTAGGAACATTCTATTATTCTTTGTTTTCCTTTTATCCTTGAGTTTGGCTCAGATGTGTGTCCACTATCC